CCTGAAGCCAGATCCAAAGCGATACTGGTAGTTCATGATAGTTCGGATGGGCTAGTGATAGTCTGCAATTAGTATAGTCCCTGCTCCCTGGTAACGAAGCATCGACTTCCGCCTATCTCGCTGATGTCCTTACCATGAGTGTCAAAACTTGCAGGACCATAGCCGCGGCGCCGCTCAGGCCACCGCCTAGAGCTCTCATAAGAGCTGCTTTTAGATCAAACTAAAGTGGTAATGAGTCAGTTGTTGATTTACTTGACCCATCGTCCAACCGACTCACGTTGGTGTCTTTGGCATCAATCCAGCCTTTGATAAAGACAGCCAGGACGAAGATAGCGAGAACTGCCCAGAACGCCCGCCATAACCACCAGCTAGTCGTCCTCTCTTTCTTTTCCTCTCCATCCTGACCCGTGATGAGGGGCACCTGCTCCGGATTCTGAATGCCTTCGTTGGCTCCGTTATCGTCGTTCTGATGCTCTACCGGCTGCTGGCTTGATCCGGCCTCGGCGGATGTCCCCAGGAGCGGGGTCCGCTCATCCGACTGCTGCGGCTGGCTTTCCAAGTCTTTTTGTGCTGCCATGGTTCCAACGCGAAGATGGTGACACTACCTGGTTCTGCGGTTGGTGTCCGTGATTGTGTCGTTAATGTTGATGAAGGTGAGTCGCGGCTCTCTGGCTCTTACTAATTGATAACTGTTTCGCTATCGCGTGCATGCGGGGGGTTATCGCGTGCTTTGAAATCCGCTGACGCCACATCTTATTTTCAGCCACATCCAACTGTCACAGGGGTCAACTTGGGATGATCAGGGAAGTCTTGACATCATCAATCTCATGCTCGGATTTGGTGGGACATTTGTTCAGTGGTCTCTCAACTGAGAAATCACTAATTCAACCTAAAGCGCCAATACATTCTCAGAACTCCAGTAGACAGCGTTTCCTAGTACCTTCACCCCACGTCTAGCTGGACTTCCGAACTCCTGTCGGCTCCGATTGCGTTTCCTCCGACCCGAACCTCAATGTCCTTAGTAGAGCGGTATGATGACAAGCAATCGCTTAATGGATTGACATGTGGTGAGTAGCTTGCTAGCGTAAGGTCGCCTCTGGCCTCTATTGAGCCCCCAATAACCCAGCATGGTAACTAGGTAAGGTACATGGAAGGAACCTAATAATCTGGGTCCCACGGTGCCTCATCAGCTGTCTCCTGCCAAGCGTAGTGAGGCCACCGAGTGAACCCGTCGTAGTGGGAGTTGCGAGGCTCGGCTTTTGCATCAGGGATATGGTCGTCGAAATGCGACGACCACTTGGGATCATTCGTATCCACACCCCTTCCTAGATTTTTGTACGAGATGAGAAAAACGATGCGACTTCCGTCCTTGGTGTCCTTCCATTCGTACTCGTAGTTCGTATAACAAGACTCGCAGTGCATGATCGGTATGTGGTTTTTTGGTCCATATCGCGGCATGACGGCTGGGTCCCAAATGTCGCGAATTTTCTTCGCCGGGTCGTATCCGTACCCTTTCGAAGCGCGGTATGCGTGAAGTTTGCTTTCATCGGTAAGGAGTCCATCGTAGTCGAATATGAAGGGGTATGTTTCTATCCAGTCAACATGTTTGCAGCATGTTGTAAGCTCGGCTCGTTTGAGAATTCTAACGGCGAATTGAATTTTATCCTTCGTCTGGTTTGGGTCGCGGCACGCAAAGAGTCTCGTGGTCGTCTTCACCAGCAAATCCCCTTCGCTTGACACCCTACATTCAAAGCCTTGTTGGACGTTGGCTTCCTCTCTTTTATAGCAGTAACCCCAAATAGTAGACTTTTCTAGTAGTATTGATTCAAAGAAGCCCGTTTTATGGCGTTTCGAATGCAGGAAGGCCTTGATCATATTGAAATGAAAATCGTGTGGAAGGTAGGGAGACGACAATCTCTGGTGATGGTCCTCTGAGACTGCTTTGATGCAGGGGCGATCTGATTCGGTCGGCGCCCAGCTTGAGTCGTGGTCGACTGGTGGAACCGATGAGACGGGATCATGGAAAATCTGACAGGGCAAACAAAGAATCTCCCTGCGTGTGTTGATGGCGTCCCTCTCTAGTAGCTTCAACAGATCCAGACGTTCACTAGACCCCCGATTTAGCCAAAACTGCTCGTTTGACATGATTGCCAGCATTCGTTTGCTCGTCAATGCCAAGGCCACGCGTTCGGCCATAGTGAGGTGTTTGGCGATGGCCAGATGCAGATTGAGTGGCAGTGCGTGATCGAGACATGGTCCTAAGTCCGACTTCTTCTTCTTGGGGTGACTCGGCAAAGCTTTCATCCATCGAAGAAAGCGGCTCAAGACTGGAGGTTGGGCCGGGTCTTTTTTCAGCCCATCAATAGACTGCGCAACTTTGGCGTTCGAGTCCAATGCTTGTAGTGACTCTTCACATGCGTTGGCTGTTGTGTGTGGAGCTGAAGACGAGTTTTGCGATTCTGCTTGAGCCTCATGGAAAGGGTTTGTTTCTAGACAATTTTCTTTCCGTCGAGCTGCAATCTCTCTGTACGATCTATTAGACCGAATGAGATGAGACATTGCCGCTACGAGTACACTCAAAGCCATGTTCCGTTTGTGAACCGGTGAATGGATAGGTAAATCCGTCAAGGCGAGACGGCTCTTCAGTGTGCAAGCTGCAGTACTAGGAATAGCCACAAGCTGTTGGGGATATGTTGACCATAAATACCCAAATACATAAGGTTAATGTGAGTTCAGACGGCGCCTATCAGGGCTCATGTGACTCGTCACCTGTATTCGTTTCGTCAAACTATCAGGGTCTTCGGAAAAAGGCTTATCGCTTAACTTTCAAGTGACCTTTTACTCAGGCTGCCAAGGTGTCAAAAAGTAGATTGAGCCCCGATCGTTTTCAAACTTGAAAACTACTTTGAGCACCTTGAAACAGGCATCTTGACACTCCGTCGGTAGATAAGCATCTTACGGGTATAGCGGTTTGTGGACTGCGCATGCCGCGAGAAGGCGACTTCGGCAGTGTAAATGATAAGACTAGCAGTTCAGGCCAGAGGTTCTTCAGACTCCACGACCGAGAATTCAAGACAATTCAAGTCAGTGCAATCAAAAAGTAAAGTTCTCATTATTTCCTGGCCTTTTGGCCGACAGGCCGGCCGCACGCAGACCACCGCGAAGGCATACAGCAAAAACATAAACAGCTCAAAAAGAGCACCCCACGCCCACCAATACAGCCCGAAGGCGCCAGGAAACAAGCACAAACGCAAAAAAACCACCCGGGGAGGTATAAAAAAAAGTAGAAAAAAAGAAACCTCCCCTCACCACAACACAGACATGCCCGAAGGCCGGAAAGACCACCAAAGTGTGTGTAAAGAGCAAGGCAGGAAGCCCAGGAAAGAGGGAGATGTAATTGAGTTAGGGTGCGTCACAATCGAAAAGAGTGAAAAGCTTGGAAGGCACTCAATCTTCAACAAACATGGAATTCTAGGTGTGGAAGGACCACCATCTACGATGTGATAGGCAACAACAGCACGAAAATACGACTGCCAATATCATTTTCACATACTCTATCCTCTTTGCTCCACAGCGAGGCAATCACAAAGACTCCATCATGACTGAGAATTTAAAATCGTCTACTTGGCCTGCCCGTACTCTTTTCTTGGCTCCATGGGGGGGCTGTGATACTAATTATTGCCAACATGGTGCGCCACACACTTGGCCTTCTTTCGGTTATGGACAATTGTTGTATTCAGTGGCCAACAATTTCTTTCCAAGTCATTCCCTGAAAGAGTAATCTAGGCAGGATCTTAGGTACGCATGAAGCGTAAGTGCCACATGATGCAAGCAGCTTCCGGTCACGAAACGCGGCCTTACGTGCTGGGAGGTAGCCAGGCCTCAGCCATGATTCTTTCACTTTCTAGACAAATGAGAACATCGTGGCGTTTCCTGCACTCATTCCTCTCTCATGTTCACCTCTGTAACCTGACGTAAAGGCTGTTAAGATGACTGGAAAGCAAGTTGGGATAGCTCCGATAGACCCAGATCGGAATACCTTGGGACAGCTTGACACCTTAGCAGTGGTCAAATCCATTCATTCGGTGAGCCTACTGCTAAAATGATCCACCACTTATCCTTAATTTCTCGCCGTATTGTCTTATACCGAGGTATCCTTATCACCCCTTTCATCGTGACCCTACCTATGGCAACCTCACCACCACAATACTGGTTTCAGCTACTTCTTCCAGTGGATTCTCCAAGTAATATACTCAAAATTTCTCAGTGAGAAAGCGCAATGGATCGGTCTACTTGTAAGAATAGCAGCGGTGATGTTATTATGGGGTTAATTACTTTACGTCTGCATTAGCTCGCAGGTTATTTGTCACCCGCAGCCCAGGGCCAACACGTCTTTGTGGTGCAGAATACTAAACTACATCTGAAGCCTAGTTTCCCAAAGCTTCCCGCTATTGCTCGAATGTGAACAGCATCTCCGAAGGGTTGCCATCAGCCACAGAGATTCCGGCGATTCCCTTGCCAACCGCCTTGGCGACCTCTGAAGCCACCACTCCGTATGGACTAGCCATCAACGTATTCCAGCCCTTCGTCTCGCCGAGGTCGTTAGTCGTAGTGAAGCCTCCGGCACTCTCTCCGAGCTCAGTGCGTGCGTTGCTAATCGCGGTTTGGGTCGCCGGGTCGACGATCTCGGAGAACTTGATGGAGGTAACCTCGTTGATATCCAATGTTGTGGCTGTCCAAAGCTGTGTAATAACCGAGCTAAGACTGAGCCCGAGGGGAACCTGGCTTGCCCACGCTTCATTGGCAACAATTTTGTATCCGTAAATATCGCACAGGACCTTCATAATAGCTTGTTCGCCGTTTGTGAAGCCATCGGTGTAGATCGCCTTCCAACGTCCAAGATCCTTCACGGAGTAGTCTGAGCCGCCAGTTGCGCTGCCCTCCTTTGCCGTGAAGGTGAGCTCATATCTGGTAGATTCATCTGCTGTAGCCGAATTGTGGAACGCTTGGCGCATATCTGCCTTCTTTGCCGGCTTTCCCGGAGGCTTCAACAGCTCCGCGCGCGTATCGTCGACTGTGAAGCCCTTTGGTGGTCTGGGTCGGGGTTCGGTCGGCTCGACTGTTTCAGTAACATTGCCTTTGTACCAGTATACTGCTCCGCCGTTGCTGAGTCCGAGTGGAATCAACGAGTTGATATCGATAATAAGACCACCTTCTTCCTTTGACTCTCGCAGTACGCAGTCTGCGATAGACTTGTCGGACCGTGAATCATATCCACCACGAGGCAAAATGTAGCCGACCTGATCGAAGTTGCCGTTGGCAGGAATCATCCAGATATTGTCTTCTTTATCGTAGCCAACAACACCACAACGGATACGGTTACCAGTGGCCTTTTGGAGGACTTGGAGAAAGGTTAGCTCCAGGACAAAGCTTTGAAGTTTGGCCTAGGTGGTGAACTGGTGATAAGACTTACCAGAGCCATCTTTGTCGCCACCGTCGACTACATCAGCGGGTAAATACCAGGGATCAACTGTTCCCATTGGTTTCCAGACAGCTTCGCTGTCATCACCAGGGAGAAGGTCATCGGTTTGAGCCTTAACAGCAATCAGGCTGAATGCGCCCCAAAGGGCCAACTTTTGAACGTTGATCATGGAGTACTGCATGCTGGTCTGGGTTCGATGTTCAATGGCAAATCTTTGAAATCTCACTCAGATGACGCAGACTGTTAATGCTCGGGAACTCAAGAGTATTCGTATATAATTGTTCCCCGGCCGCATCCGTGCATCCTCTCAGCCAGCTTAAGCCTTCATTTACCAGCAAACAATAAGAATGGGCTTAGGGCCACTATGGCGTAACTTTCTTTGAGTGCTTCCATACTTCGTCACTTTGGTTTTTCGACATCACTGTATTTGGGTTTGCCCAGGAATGAAAGGCAACTGTCAGGCCTCCGTTATAGCAAGTCAATCATGATGCCATGAGAGGGTTGGCTGAAATTGCCTATGGGCCTCATAACGAAGGTATGTTTAAGTCCCTTGGTCGCCTCACTCTGTTTTCCCTCGCCAAGAACGCCGTTCGTGCTATTCGCTGACTGAGCGCTCTGAGTAAGTACTTAAGTTTGTCGAAATAGTCTCCGGTTCGGATATAGCCGCCAATTTAGTTTTCAGCGATTATTTCAACTACGCTCCACTCCTGGTGCGGCTCCCCCGGCTACTAAAGAGCCGCTAAATGTCTGATTTTGCCTTAAGATGAGCTGCTCCCAACTTCCCAACTACCACCTAAAGCCAGAATAGAGTTTGCACTGCTTCCGAGGTGCCGAAAAAAATATGACTCGGGCGCGTTTTCGGTGAAGCCTTTCACGACATCATCAATTTCAGTCACAGGAGCCAAGGGCCATCACTTGACCTTTCGCTAAGGACTCACGATCTATGCATGTTTGGTCGGTTTACTTATTGCCTTCATCCTACGTGAACAATGCATGAGGACTGTCGAAACAATCGTCCCAGGTGTTTCCTACAGAGGCATAAAATCTCTCTAGGACCTCTTTAGCCGCGACTGGAAGATAGATTCCCATCCTCTGACTGTCTTCTTTCATACGCCCTAGAACGAAGCTCCGCATGGACAGGTTTCCACTCTTGGCCTCGAACCCGGCTACAATCATTGGCCATGTGGTGCAGATCTTCAATGCTGGAGAGGCAAGCGAGGCTTTGAGAAAAGAGAACAGCCTGTCACGATGGGTTTCCTTGACGGTCATCCAATCCTTCGAGAAAGGAATGACCTTCACGCTTTGTAGAGAAGAAACACCAAACAGTGCCACGGCTGACCGATAGGTCTTGGCCATTAAGAGATGTCCATCTGCTAAAGGCTCCGTGCTACCAGACCAGACTTCAGGTGAATAGTCCAAAATCTTGTCTAGGAGACGCTCTGCTTCCATCCTGATCGAGGTGAGAGGTCCTCCAGGTTGACTGCACGTTGCTTGGAAGCGAAGGCGGTTGATGTGGATGATGTCGATGAGTAAGTCGACTGGACATGGAAGCTGGGGATAATAACCAATCGAGAATACGTCCCTCACTACATTTCGTATCTTGAAGTTTGCCACTGGCGACACTTGATCGTGGGCGGGGCTAGTTGTATTGGCGAGATTCTCGATGCTAGATGACAGGGTAGAGTTAGTAGCAGGTGACGTATGCCATGATTACCACGCCGAAGCACGGCTGATCTTTCCTAAGCCATGTGGCCTTGAAGACATATTGCACAGGAGGCACTCACACTTTACAGAACAACACGAGAGACTTGAGATGCGGCGACTTTTGACAGAACGCATCTCAACCACCACGCAAAGCAATCAACGCAGCAAACCCACCCAAGTGGACACACGCCAATTAGGCTCTGTTGCACTCCCCATAAGCTATATGCCATCAGTGTCAGGTTGGTCATGGGTGTGACAGCATTTGCTCCCTTACATCACTGAAGAGGATGACGATTACGCCAGCTAGAGTTGCATCGGAGCATCGCGTACTCTCATTTTCGATCTCCTTGTTTAAAGCCTGGATCGCTGTAAGACGATGCTGATAGGCCCTAGCTCTGACCTCAATCGCGTAAGCGTCATTCCTTGCAGGCGATAGGCGTGACATCCGGTGCTCGATTGCCATAGTGACTAGGCCATGTCGTCGGTATGGTTTCATAGCGTGGATATGGGAAATTGGTACAACCCAGGGGCTCTTAGTGAGCTGGTTCTCGTAGAAGTATGGGTAAACCTGTTCGTTCCCTATGGGTATCGAGGTGTTTGTCAGCGCAAATCTTTCGGCATATCCAGGTACTCCGTAGATCCATCGGAATAGCATGGTTCCGGAGTACGGCTTGGAAGTCTGACGAACAATAAACTGAGGCATCAGCAATGTCGCATGTTTCCGTCCGGAGCTCTTGTCCGGGGAATACATGAATGAGCTGTACCCGACGATCTTCTTCTTCTGGAATCTTCTGTATCGCCTTTTTCTTTCCGCTACCTTTCGAACCCTTCTTGGCGATGTCGATTTTGTCAGTTTTCGGTTTTCGTCCGCCCCTCCATGTCCGCGTCGTGACCTGATTAGGGGCCACCCAGGTCAAAGGCTTCACGTTCTCATACCCAGGGCACACTATGCCGCTAAGCTTACACCTGGAGCAAACAGGACGTTTCGAATCGCAGACCAAGCCCCGGCGCTGACATTCCCAGTAGAACCGTCTAGTGCTGCCGCTGCCGCCGCTATTGTCGTCGGGGCTCTCTGACGCACCAGTAGAGGGGCGCGGCTCTGGTGATGGCGCCATCGATCTGACTGGAAGGCGGGAAATTGAGGGGGAAGACTTGTACGTTTTAGGTTATTGGAGGTATTGATAGGAATCGCCCGTATATATTGGCGGCCCGGGGTCATTTCGTAGTACGTGTGCCTCCTGAGAGCGGGAGAGCTACCCGCCTAGAAGAGGGGACGTTCCGCGGACGCCGGTGACTGGCGATTCGAGACACTCGGTGGATACTTGCAGCTCTTGGCTCGCTCCTTCCGCTGATCGGTCAAGGCCTCGCAAAAACCGTGTCTTTCCAGCATGATCTAGGGGCTGGCTGCAAGGGACAGTCGATTGTGCAAAGAACAATGTCGGAAATAGAGCCGGAAGAGGCAATTCTAACTTCGTGGCAGTACAAAGCAATACTCGGCTTTTCACTTGCCTTGCAAGACTATGAATACGTATCTAGCCAAACCGTTCCGTGAACCAGGGTTGTTGTGATGCATGTTGGTTGCTTTCCTAGCTTTAGTGATAGTCCCAATAGGGCCTGCGGCATTGGATGTGTAACATGATGACGCAAGCCTGGTTTTTGCAAAGCATTTGTCGTAAAACCTGTTCCGAAGTGTAAGTAGTCAGAAACTCCCCGACATTTTTCGGTTAGACCTACTTTACAAGTTTGGAAGAAGCTTTCAACTCTTAACTAAATACCGGGGTTTACATCAGTTCTCAGAAAACCGATTGGGAGTGAAACCAGCCAGTCAGTAGTAGCGCACAAGACGACGAGGACGTATAATACGTCTGGTAGGAGAAAATGAATTCATTGCAATTCGACTCGGGGAAAGTCTACCTGGGCCACGCACATAAAGTAGTACAGATCAATAGATACTTGCTACTCTCCTTCCTTCTCGAAACATACGTCGTCTTGATTTGACTAAGTACACGAAGAACACATGCACGGAAGTCAACATCGACCGAACAGCCTCGAAGATAGGACTTCGATAATAGAAGAATCGTCTTCTCAGGGAATGCCCAGTGTAACTTTATGTGGACCCAGTACTTTAATATCTCAACAGACAATCGGGAATAATTCCGTAGACTCGAGCAGATACTTGCTATAGACCGCCGAACTCTCTTTTACAGGATTTTCAGCCCATGAGATCAGCACATTGTTATCTGTGGCCAATACTGCAAAGGCAATAGCAGCTGGGTCCAACTTTCCCATCAAATTCAGTAAGACTGTAAGGTATTCGATCGTAGAGCCCAGAAAATGGCTAGAACGCAGTCTTTACGAAGTCAGCCATGTGCAATGAATTAGCCGGCCTTTTGCACACAGCCGCGCGGGAAAGGACCGATGGTCTCCCCTGCCAAAGATCGGCGAAATCAGAATTGGCAAGTCGGACCCGTGTAGATCAGCCCGAAAAGCGTCGCGTCTCCGGGGCATGACACATGTCAGGCGGACAGAGTCTCCAAGCAACAGTCTCGGCATTGACAGAACGTTGTGTGCTTTGACTAGCACATCTTAGAGTGTAAAGAGATCATACTTTCCTATCCGTGCTCAAAGCTGCTCTTCATTCATATGATGGCATTGTGGCCTGGGGGGTTACATGGGCACCGAAGAGAAATCGTAAAGCAGGAATTTTTCTCTCACGGAGATATCCGATGTGGCCTGTTGTCAACTAGATTAACACCTGTTGCAAAGAACACTGCAGACACAGCCCTTGGCCATCGGCGGTTATTCTAAACTCGGTCTTGTCTCTTGAAGTTTCTTGAGGCAGTGCAACATTACGGGCACGAAAATCAGCCCATCTATGTATTTGATACACTTCGCAATGGCCGCCAAACAATGGAGACATTGTGCAGGAATTGGTCGTTTAATGGCATGCAAGAGAAACAGAAAAAAGTGTATCGCAAAATCGGAAGCTTGAGTCCTGAGCTTAGCTTAGATGTGAGATCAATGGTATTCACTCAACATATGGTAGGGCATGTTGTATTTTGCGGCATCAGTTTGAGGTCTTGGAAAGGAGATACAGGTCGGTAACCCCATTGCTCTAGGTATGAGAACAGACAGCGAATAACTGCCATGATGTGCCGAGTGGCCAGAGTGTATCTGGGTAAAGATTTGCCCGCCCCTTACAATTGGACGCGGAAGAGCTCCGACGAGGTCCTTGTCTGTCAAGGTTAAGCATGCCATCGCGGGGGTGGGTACACACCTGTTTACAGTTTAGCA